ACTTGCCGCGGCCCTTGCCACGAGCAGGCGGTGGAAACCCTTCTTCTCGCCTCGACCTGCCGCCGCGTCCCCTGCCCTTCCCTTTCAGGCGGGGCGGAAGGCGGGGGCGGCAGCAAGACAACAGGAAGAGGAGGCAGGGAGGACGAGGCATATGTCTTGGGAGTCTGCGAGGGCGCGTTGCTGGATGACCCCCAAGGGGGGGGGTGGTTGGGACCCCCCCCCTTTTCCCCGATCCGTCGTCGAGGACCCCCCCCCCCCTTTCCCGATCCGTCGTCGGGGACCCCGCCCCTCCTTCCCGGTCCGTCTTCGGGGAACCTCCCCCCCCTCACCCACTTTCAAAAGGGGGGGGGATCCGAACCCTCCGCCTCCCTGCGTGTGGGTCACTTTACAACCAGAAGCGCACTTTACAACCATATGGGTCACTTTACAACCAGCTTATAAAATCCAAGAAGGGCACTTTACAGCCAGGAAGGGCACTTTACAACCAGGCAAGTAAAAACACATATTGAATGCACGCGTGCCTTTCCCTGGAATCTCCGTGGGCAAGCGCAAGGGTGGCTTTGGGCTCTTTGAGGCATGTTGGTTGTAAAGTTGCCCATCGCGCACGAAGAAGCACTGCGCGCGAGTTGGCGATGCGGCGACCTGGTGCGCTATGGCATGTCGCGTGCTGGTGGGCGGATTCGAGTTTTGACCTGCTCTCTAAGCTCTGTCGGTCAGTTCTGCCATTGCTTGCTCTGCCTTTTTTTTCTGACGGGCGAAGGCTAGTCGCGCAGGACATACGAATAAACCATGATCCCGTCCAAGACTGGAGCTGCATGGCAGTGGAAAGCTGTAGTGGGAGATGTGGTGGAAGCGGGGGCTACAATGGGAACTGCATGGTGTTGGGAAGCTGCGGTGGCAACTGTGGTGGTCGCCAGGCAACGGTGGGAACTGTGGTGGTAGCTGGGCTGCAATGGGATTTGCGGTAGTAGCGGGGGGTCAGTCGGAATTGTGGAGGTAGCGGGGCTGCAGCGGTAAGTGTGGTGGTAGCAGGCACAGAGGTGGCGGTGATGCGCTGTCACGGTGGCTCAAGCTGCTGCGCTGGCACGGTGGCTGAGGCTGCTGCCCGAGCACGATACCTGCGTTGCTGCGCTGGCACCGTGGCTGACGCTGGAAGAAACGATCTTCGAAATAGTTGCATTTATTCGGGACGTTGAACCTCGATCTTCCAAGACGAGGAGCAGCAGGGGGCCAACTGGAGCGGGCGCACTTAGCCCCTTGCAGAACACCGTGGGGCTTCAGGGGCCAACGTGGCCCAAGAGACCCGCGGTGCCAATGGCCTAGTTCCCTGGGGCGCTGGGCCCTTGTGGAGGCCACTGGGCTCGCTTCCTGTGAGTGATCCCTAAAATGGGCAGCGCGTCGCCCTGAGCCTTCCTACGTATGCTGTCGCCTTATTCCCGTGCGAGCACGGGGCCCTTGTTGAGGCCGCTTGGCCCCTGCTAGCAAGCCCTGTCTTAGTCTGCTGGGCTCAGAGCGCCAGAGCGTCCAGGCGCTCGGGCTCAGAGGCATCGCTGGGGCCTGCTCAGAGCGTCCAGGCGCTCGGGCTCAGAGGCATCGCTGGGGCCTGCGCAGAGCGTCCAGGTCCTCGGGCTCAGAGGC